CCCCCCCCCCCCGCGGGAAAAATAGCCACAAGCAATTAAATAGAAAGAATGAAACAATGAAGCATGATAGTGCTGTGTGATTGGTAAGGAATACTCCGTATAATTTTGAATGGGCTGGTACATGCTTCATGCCTTTTTGGAACACAATTGTTTTTTACTCAAATAAAATCTTGTTGATACACTGATACTTTTTTTCTGTCTATGATTTTAGCATTTAGGTTTATTTGAACCCTTTTTATGTGACTGTATTCTTGTTGCTTTCTTTTACGCCCAGTTGAAACTATGCTGACTCCCTACATACTTTTTGCAGCTATTACTCGTATCGTGCTTATATGGACTTCGGTTTTCCCGACATTTTCATCTCCCGCGAGGTAATTTTCCTAGCTTATCCTTCCTGGAACCATGAAGATTTGTTAAGCATGAATTGCATTTACGTATACAGACAAGTGATTGCACGTTTTGTTTCTGTGAATCACTTTATTGGAGTAAGTTGGAATTACTAGGGATCTGATGTGATTGTTGAGAGAGCCAAATTAAATCTCACCTCTACAAAAAATGCTTCAATGTCTTACTTTATTGTTTTTTCCTTCAATAGTTAGCCCTATCTTTGTAAAAGCACAAGGGCCCCTTATGCTTTCTAAACACAATATTATGAATCTTTGAAGTGACTTTAGCACTTGTATAGTTGTATTAGTTCTGTGCATTCTACTAGATTGACTTTTTCCCAAACTTTTTAAATGTATTTTCACGAGATTATCAGCCCCCTGGCATCCCATTAAATCTTGTTAATCTACTATAAAAGTATATTACATGAAAGTGTGCAAGGAATCAAGCAGCTGGTGATTTTATTAAGATATTATTTAATCTTTGGCACAGCATCGCAGGCAAAGTGCTAGCAACTATCTACAATTCTACACAGTACACCCATACTGACACATACATAATAGATTTCACATGCAGGGTGTTCAAGGTGTGCATAACTCCACACAAACACACACATCAAATGCCGTATTACAATCCAAGATATCTCTCTCAATGTTTCATTAAAAAATTCTATTCACTAAGAATTCAAGCATATTAGTTGTATTTAATGTGCTCTGTACATTAAGGTGTATTATATACTCGTTGTCTGCCTGAGCTGGGGGTCTCTTTGGAAACAGCCTCTCTACTTTCGAATAGGGGTAAGGTCTGCGTACACCCACCCTCCCCAGACCCTACTTTTGTGGTATCCTATTGGGTTGTTGTTGTATATACTAGTTGTGAGTAGATCACAGCCACAAGATTCAAGTTTGAATTAAGAGATGATATGTCAAACCATTTTGACTCTCTACATATCTCTTTAACATCCATCAAGCCTGAACTTATATTTAATCAAGCCGTCTTTTTATAAAAACACTCAAGTCAGTTCCTGCTTAACCCTGTGGGAAACAAAACCTGCTAATTGATCACCACTTTGAATTTGTATAGTAGAGAGCAAACCTTGGTGAATCTTTTCTAGCTTGAAGTGACAATATACCTCAATATGCCTGGGTCACTCATGGAAGACAATATTGCTTGAGATATGTACTGTATAGCTCAGTTACTACACAACAAACTTATTCACTCATTCACTTCCACACCAATCTCTTTTAGAATATTTGTATCCAACTATCCTAGTTATTTCACAAGACGCATGAGCCATGGCTCTATATTCAGAGGCTTGTACATTAAAGCATGTCATTAACTAGTAGTTTCTAGCTCATGGCACATGATTAAAATTTAAATTGATAGATAATCCATCTAACAAGCCTTTTGACTGCACAAGTCTCTCAAAAATGTATGAACTTTGATATACTTGTAATTTAAAAATAGATTTGAAAAGACAGAGTTGTTCATTTGTTTTCAGAGAATCAACCTCAACTCATTTTGGTTGTGGTGTCAAGACAGTTTCTTGATGGATTTTGATTTGATAAGATTAGCACATGTGAATTATGTGTTGTTTATGTCACATTTTGCTCAGTGTATAATGACATGGTAAATATTCTAGACATTTGGATGGACTCCTGCAGAGGCTAAAATACATCTGGCTGGTCAGTTTTTCAGCCAGTCTGAGGTATGACCTAATTCTTGGACATTTATGCATCCTTAATATGTATGAATTTGCACATGCCCTTTTATGAAGGAGAGAATAGATTTTAACACTATTTGTTGAAACTGCAGTTGGATGTAATTGTTGAAGTTTTAGGATCAAACCCAAGGCACCTCTTTGAGCTTTACGCACTGAAACTAAGTAGCTCTTTTCAGAAGTAAGTATGGTTGTATGCAACATTATATGTCTTGTTATTGCAAAATGATCTTGTGGTTCTTATTTAACATTTCACTCTGCTTGAAGCAGTAGCTCCTGTGGAGGATATACTGTGAGAAGCTAGACTGAGGTGATTTGGTCACATAAGGAGAAGAAGTTCGGAGGCTCCAGTGAGTAGAGGAGATGCGAGAGACTTGCAGTAGTGGGTGCGATTAGGGATAGGGGTTGACCTAGGAAGAATTGGAAAGAGATGATTAGACAAGACTTACGACTTAAGGATCTTACTGAGAATATGACCTTAAATAGGAATGTTTGGAGATTTAGGATTAGATTATCTAGGTAGTCCTTTGTGCTTTAGTTTGTAGTTTACAAAGTTGTGTTTTTTCCATCATCTGTAGCATGCATATGTCTGCTTTCTTTGCTTTGAGTCTTGTTGCTAGTGTCGTTTGTGCATGTTTTGTGATTTTGCTCTTGAGTTCATGCTAATGTGTTTCATGTATGTACTTTTGTGCTTGAGCCAAGGGTTTCTTTGAAACAGGCTCTCTACCCCTAAGTTGGGGCAATGTCTGCGTACACACATCCTCCCCAAACCCTACTTTTGTGGGATTTTACTGGGCCTGTTGTTCTTGCTGCCAGTATACATGCCTTCATGCATGTTGATTTTATGCCTTCAACTTTATTGCTTCTACTATTTTCTGTACTTTTATTGGTATGAGACATGCATGTGAACACTTGGATGTATAAAAAGGTAACTTGTGGAGTTTATGCTCTGCCTTTGGATGAACAATGCAATGATAGTATGGTGGGTTCAATTTAAAAACAATCCACGGTAGTGTTTGATTGGGGTTTTCACCTGTATGGTTGTTCTTCCCCTGGGACATCTGAGTATCTGAGATATAATAGGTATGGAAATGAACTTGACAAATAAAAGCAATGTAGGCAGATAATTTTTCTTCTTTGAAAGCCTGACTCTTGGGGGAATTTTGATCCAATTCCATATTGATAATGTGAATGACTAAATTGAAGAGTGATTAAGTAAGATGTAAGACTACTTATTAATATGATTACCTTTCCTAAAAAAAAATGATTACCTTGAGTTTCTCGGGATTGTTTGTGTTTTTTTTAAATTTCCTTTTTACCTTCAAAGTTCGATAGATCATATTCTAATGTAATCATGCATTGCCACAATATGAATCAAGCATGCATTGTCATCTTACATTCCTTGAATACCACATTACCCAATAAGAGGTAATGTGATGAGTTATAACATAAGGTACTCTAAAATAACCCAAATCAAATGTTTATATGTTGCTATATAGCAATGAACCTTTTTTTTCTGCATCATTGTATGCTAAAGAAAACAGTATTGGAATATTGGGATGACCATTTTCCAAATGGGAAAGATTGACATAGTTAATGGGACACAGGGAATAATAATATACACCATCAATCAGGTGAACGTTCTTAACCTAATGTTCTCCAATTATTGGATCATTTGTTGCTCGATCGTTTTCTGAATTCATTGGCAGTTTTTATGTTAGTTCATTTTATAATTTATATACTCTTCACCATCTCACTTTCAACTGTAGGGAAGCCAAGAATACATTTGAGGACATTGTGGATGCATACCTGGCATATCTTCAAGTATAGACACCACTTTATCACTTAATGTGTAGTGTTTGTTAAACCAAAAAGCTCCTTTGGCATTTATTAAAAGTGATCCTGTGTATGTAATGGGTTATATTCATTGTCCAAAAAATAAAGAAAAAAATGTAATGCCCATTATGATTGGACATAATGACTCATGGTGGTAGCTAAAGGTGTGTTTGCGGGGGGCTTAGGTTTTGTTTGGTAGCCAAACATGGCTTATTTGACTCAAATGCATGGATTATCAAAGCTTTTGTTCAAAGAAAATTATGCAACTTCAGTCATTTCAGCCAAATAACCCTTACAAAGCCAGATCTTTAAGTCAGGACTAGCTTTCCTTTTTGCAGATGACAGTGGTTAATCCTGCCATGGATAAGGCATTATCAAGTATACAGAAGTTTGCAAACGATGCACATAGCGGGAAAATTCCAAAAGACAAATTGTGTTTTGGAGCTCCTTGGAGAAATCTTTCACATCCTGGTGACCAAGTCGCATGTCGTGAGTGGGCTAAAATTCAACTAGTAGACTTTGTTCATTCTCTAGTCAATGCAGAATTTGGGGTACCGTCTCTCTCTCTCTCTCTCTCTCTCTCTCCTTGCATTTTCCAATGGTCCTTCAATTAAAACAATGGCAATAACTACAACCCAGTATGATCTCATTTCTGTTGGAATGTAGGGTCAAGATGTATGCAGCCTTACGCTGTAAAATTTAGACAGTTTTTGTTAGACCCTTAATGCATTGCTGCATTCACTATCCAAAACATAATTGAAAATCAGAAGCAAATGAATTTTATTGTGTCATTTTCATTTAGTCCATTACGGAGTATTTATTTGGAACTAAAACATTTTCAATTACTTCTCTTTTAGCTCCATTGAAAAGAAATTTGTTTCTTTTGAATCTTTGGGCCTATTTGGCAAAAAACACTTGTCAGACAGAGTTGGCAGCAATAGCTTTTCCAAAAAAAAAACATTTGGTAACTTAATAAAATGCTAAAAAACAAACTTAAATGTTAACATCATCAATATGAGCTTTCTCAAAATACTGGGCTGTTTGTTTCAGCCTCTTAATGGTTCAGATGTCTGAATGATTCAGCACTTAATGGTTCAGACTGTTTGTTTCAGCCTCTTAATGGTTCAGATGTCTGAATGGTTAAGAGATTTGCCTCTGAATGGTTAAGTATTATACAGAGTCTGAATGGTTAAGACCTCTTATCTGAATTGATCAGACATTTGCCTCTGAATAGTTAAGCAATATACTAGCTCTTAATGGTTCAGACCTCTTACTGGTTCAGCACTTAATGGTTCAGACCTCTTACTGGTTCAGCACTTACCCATTCAGAAGTTGCCAAACAGCCCCTTAATCCTATTAGCATTTTCAGAATACATCACATATGTATGGATGTATGCGTATTTAGTATTTACCATTGCATTAAATCTGGAACGCTATTGCTCAAACCCTTCATCATATATTCAGCGAATAATTCGGAGATGTTTATTGCAGCTAAATTACCTGCAAGATTGCAGTCTTGAAATATTTGACGATCCATGTGCCGTTGCATTAATACAGGTATTCTGTGTTCTTATATTCTCCGTAAATCTACTCGGCTATATTGCTTTTTTGAGAAGCACCCACCCATAAAATTCATTTATTTATTTTCGTAAACGTGCGGGGGTTCTAATACATATTAGAACCACAACCAAACCATAATCCCATTCAATTGGGTCATGAACATCATTAACCTCGTTTTCCACTTCCTCCTCATGCATCACCATATCATATTATCATCAAGTCTCGCGCTCTTATATGTCTCTATACATTTTTCTCTCCTCTGCATGACGAGCAAAATCAAAGCTGCCAAATACGTCATTTTTGCAACTTTTAAATCGTCACTCATGACTCTAGGAAACCAAGACAAACACTTAATTATTGCGCCCGAATTTTTGTTCATTTTTTCTGCTTGATGACACGCATTAGGTTGGGTTGCTGTATATGCAACGGGACCCATCCATTCTTCGCCCAATATCTCGAGGCATACAGAGGTGTCTGGTCAGATGGTAAGATATGTCCTTGTGTGTTGTGTGTTGACTTCGCTCACACGATTTTTCTAAAACCTTTCAATGTATGGAGTTTTCTTTTTTGTTAAACATTTGCCAATGTGGCTGCTGCAGGTTTGTTCAGGAGCGAATGGAAATGAGCTTCGCGAACTCGTTGCGGTATAAATGGCAGCGAATTGCGCGGGGCCGGAGCTATCGCCATCTACTGTAAGAAATCTAGTGAAGGAAGAAAACTGAAAGGGATAATACTGGAATTATAATTATTATTTTATAGAAACATAATCTCTAGTGTAAAGAAAACCATTCCAATAATGGTGTTTGATTTTAGGTGATTTTTTTAAACGTGATTTGTTAGAATACTACGTAATTTTTTTTAGAAGAAATTATTCCGTACTGAGTAATTTTTTTTACCCATTTTTCTGTTCTGAGTTAGTTTTCACGAATGTTACTCCCTCCATCACAGAGTACGTTACAATGTAAAATTTTGATTATTCACACCCCCTTTATTTAAAAATAAATAAATAAATAAATACGAAGTATTTAAAAAATGTTCTAATATTACATTTTACAATGAATCTAATAAATATTAATTTAAAATTGTAATTTAATAATGTCTTTAATGCAAAGCATGGTTAAAGTTGAAGAGTTGACGAAAGAATTTAAAGAGAACACTAATTGAGGGAGGATTAAATCATTCACCCTCTCCGTGGTATTTCTACCTTTTCTATATTTGACTATTTTAAAAATATTCTCCACTTTGTTTTGGATCAAAAGAAAGATAAAAGAGGACTTGCAAAAATTGATTGATGAAATTGTTTTCTTTAAAAAAAAAGGATATTTTGGTACTTACACATTCCCTCCGTTCAAATTAATCTTTCTGTTTCTCTTTTTTCTCCGTTTAAATCAATCTTCTCATTTTTAATATATGTATGTTTGGACAAAAACAACCTCAAATTTTTTCTCCGTCTGGATTTAATTTTCTAATTAATCTCATCTTAGACAAATCCACCCCAAAGTCAAGCTCGCTTAAATATAAAAGGAAATGTGAACACAAACCATAATATATCACACATTTACTGATTCAAAGAGAATATATATCAAACAATAACATATATGTCCACCCCATCTTACACACACCAATCATGCTCCCCATTGTGCACTAAGAAAAAAAGTAGAATAAGCAAACATTACACTAATCCCATTTCCTTGTACTCCACACAGACAAGATTTGTCCGTGAAGTGCAAAAAATAGAATTGGCGTACACTTCTTGCTGTACAAAAAAAATCCACGCGAATCCCATATCTGACACCAGTCTTTCACAGATACACACACAAACAGTTCCTGCACCTCTGTGAGACAGAATGGTGTCATCAAAGATGGAAAATGCATAAACAAAAAATCTAATGTTGTAGCTCTTCCTCTCAGTCTTCCCCGCGTTGCTTCTCCTTGTGATTTTTCGTGTAGATCCGGTGGCGTCTCTCTCTCCCGTAGAGGACCCAGAAAGTGAGAGAGAGCATCACCGCAACCGCGACCACAACAAGCCCTGCGTACACCCACTGGCTGTAGTGCCGCAGGCCGGGACAGTAATTCGTGTATATTTTGCTGAAGGTCACTCTCACAAAGTCGCAGTTCTGGAGGTCCGTGAGGAACTGGCCGTAATGGTACAGCCCGTAGCTCACGTTCACGGCGGCAGCCATTTGGGAATAGATCTTTGGAGTCAGACGGCCGCTCGTGGTGCATATGTCGCTAGAGGAGACCTGGCATACATACTTGTTCCACACCTGCACAAATTGCATAATTTAAATTGGTGCAGGGATGGCTAGACTAGACTAGGCAATAAGACATTTGGGTTGAACTACATTAGAAGAAGAAAAAACTTCATTGCTTCCTATTTTCCATCCATTCTTCCTTGATACTGCAAAAAAATTGCTCCAGGGTACCCTTTATTTTCTAATAAGAACTCCCGAGGTACCATGTTATCTAAAATAACTCTAGGTGTACTTAAAACTTTGTGGTAATGTACTCCGAGGGTACATTCCGTCAATTCCACCGTTAGAATGGTTACAATGACCGAAATGCCCCTAGAGTTACTTTTGGAATGATTCCTCTTTCGATTCTTCTTTCCTTTTTGAGCGGTTAACTTCTAATAAGGTGTTAACTTTTAATGGTTGAATTGACAGAATGTACCCTCGGAGTATATTACCACAAAGTTTAAGCGCCCCTAGAGGGTACCCCCCCCCTCCCAGAGCCCTTTTTTGTCAATATTGCAGAAGTCCCAAACGGGCCCTTAGACAATAAACACAATGCAGTACCTTTGTCGCATTGCTCAAGTGCACTTCTCCGGGATCACACGGTCTAGCCGTCAAGTCAGCATGAAACGGATTGCAGAGAGTGGGAAGCCGCGGGCCAGACTGGTTGTAGTAAAAAGGACGGGAGTTGGGAGGAAAGTTGTTGTTAGACACGGTGGTGATGAACTTGTTGTTGACATCGCAGAGTTGGTAGGTGACCTCTTTGCTCTTCCTCAGAGTCTCTTGTGCCGTGGCATTGTCCACGCATGGCAGTATGTCGTCCAGAGCTGTATGGGCCATTGGGTTCTGGACCCACTGGTCCATTGCCACGCAAGAATCTGCAGTCACGCTACGTGGGCCAGTCCATGCATGCCAATCAGATTTTATCCGAGACGTGATATATTGTGTGTAAATCTTTTCTTGGGCGCCCAATCACAAGATTGGGCTTGTGGTTGAATTGGTTTGGAAGAGGCTGCTTCAAGGACTCAAAAAGCTAACACTATGTTTGGTTGGTTCGATGAATTCGGAAAGAAAAGAAAAGAAATCTTTTTCTCTCATTTTCCTCACCAAAATGGAAGGAATTTGTTTTCCCTCCTCTTGATACATTTTCCCATCTCATTTTCTTTCCCTCCACTTTTCTTTTCTTTTCTTCTTTAACCAAACGAGAAAAGTTGTTTTGCCTCACATTTTTCTTTCCTTTTTCCTTTCAAATTCCTTGAACCATACATAGTGTAAAGGAGCATTTATAATTGACTTTAAGCAACTTACTTATGAAGAAGAAGAAATATGCCACATATAATGAATGTCCCTGTTATGAGAATCCACCCAATGACCACCAAGCTGCCAAAATAGAACCACAAAGCTAGCCTCAAAGACACACACAACAAAACTGTGTATAAACAAAAAAAAATAAAGCACCATCCTCAAGGGCCCCTCCCCTGGACAGTCATATGATAGGAGGTAGATTGAGCTATAATCACAGACTGATTAGCAAAAGGTGAAGCCTATACCTGGTACGAGGTCCTATGCTTAGCATAGTTGCCTCCCAGCACAGTTGCCAGGAATCAAACTCAGGTATAAACCAAGGAATGAAAAGAGGTGGAGCACTACAAAAGATTTTGTGTGTGTGTGTGAGAGAGAGAGAGAGAGAGCACTCACATGTACACAAGATACTGCATCCCGAAAATGGAAAACACTGCAGCGGATGAGATTGAACCACAAATGAAATAATCACACATGGATACTATTAAAATGTTGCGAATTTGAAGACTTGTCTTAAGAGTGGAAAGAAAATCCTCTTACCGAATCCAAGAAACGTCAAGAGAAGCATAATAGCAGATAGTACAATAAGGGCAACTCTCCTGCATGGAAGATCATTTTGTGACTGAACAGTAAATAAATAGAGAACAGCTTGATAAACCCGTGGTTTAAGTTTCCTCTTACACGGTCTCTATCAGGTTGTCTATGCCATCTTTGTTTTCTGAAGTCTTAGTAGCAAGTTCACTAGCAGAAGAGTTGATCTTGTTCATGATGCCATCAATGTCACTTTGCACATTACCGGGGAGAAGAAATTGGGCCACCGAGATCTGTTTGGCTGCCGCCAGATAACCTGAAACATTTCTGAGACTACCTGCTGTTGTGTTTGCCTGGTTAACTACATAGCCTAAAGTGTTTATTGTACTGCTATGAAATTTTCCCTGTCCAACATACAGAATGATGCAGCCAACTCTGAACACACACAAAAAAATGGGGGAAAAAATTTAAAATGGTTTTATGCTCCAAAGAGCTCTTTGGGAATGGTGTTTTGGGAAAGAGAGAGAGAGAGAGAGTACATTGCAGCAACAGTAAAGACGATGAGGAGGATGAGAGAGAGAGCATATGCTAATCGGGAATATCCATATTGTTCCCTTGTGCAACAGCAGTAGCAAATACAAATGAACAACAAACAAAGCCCAAAGATTGCAAACCAGATCAGAGCAGCTAAAAAGAATGGAACGGCAGTAAAACCCACAGACTGCAAAAAAAAAATACAAACAAGAAATAAATATAGAGACATATGATATAGCAATTCCAATGGGATAGGAATATAGAATGAATGATTCTTTACCAAAAGAACACCACTTTGGCGCAGTTATAGAAATGAGTTTATGCTCTTACAACTAGCATATTGTTAATAATGGAAGTTTCTAGTGGCCATTTAAAGATCTCTCAAAAGGAATGTAAATATATAAATCTTGCTAATGGCCCTTGGAATCTGCAATTCCTCCAACTCACCTTCTTCCAAATGAAAGGAATATATACACTTTTTCTAAAGATATTACAGCCAACATGATATGGTTCACATCCAGCCTACATATTGGGATTTGGGACACAACAAGAGGAATAGAAAACATTGTTTGTTATGGTCCGTTTATTTAGAGTATATATCCATGACAGTTTTAAGCAGCCTACTTCGACAGAATTCGTTTACATACTATGAAGTTTCATTTATTCTAGTAATATGAGAACATTGACATTGAAAATTTCTTAAAAAAACAACAATCTTTGGAAAGAATCACCTTCATCCAGAAATAAAGTTACTCACTGGTCCTAATATAGTAAATGCCATATAAGGAGTATATATCAAGAATCACATGACATCAAAGATTCGCAATAAGTTGCAAAATTACCAAAACTTAACCCTAATTCTTCATTTGAGATACACAAAAATGGAAATATTTTCTCCCTCAATTAATCCTTTACCATAAAATTCACAACTTTCAAGTTTCAATCTCACCCCAAAGGGATAAAAATGTAGGATACTTACAGCCCAGTAGTGGCGGTTGCTAATGTTCCATCCACCTGTGTATTTCTTGAAATCATTGAGAGGGTCTTCCCTGTAAGTCCTTTTAGCAGCCAAAATGAGTGACGATGAGTTCAATGGGAGCTCACCATTGGGACCTTCAGCAAGAACCCTTCTTTTCTCCCCCAAAACCACTCCATTAATATCCCTATAAATCTCACCTAACACTCCCAAAACAATGTCCCAAATTAAGGGGAAAAAACCCAAACTTTTTTCTTGAAAAAAAATGGGAAAGTCGGATACCTGGATTGTGCTGAGCATGAAATGGAACAAAATGGGAAATTTCCTCTGGGGTCCTTTCTTTTCCCTGAGATAATAAGGGAAATGCAGAGAAAAACAGGAGGAAAGTGGCCAAAATGGGAAATCGGAGTGACCCTGCACGCAGCATTGATTGGCCTTCGTTTCTTGAGCAGTGAGATTTCTTCCCTCAATTGAAAAAAGAAAAGAAAGAGACTTGTTCAAGAACTGAAAAGAGAGCGAACTGTAAAGGGCTGAGGAAAGAAGAACGCAAGCGTCGAGATGCGTTTCGCGAACAGACAAAGATGGAGGAGAATGCGTGTCGCTTGCGGTTATAGAATATGATTGATGATCTATGTTGGTGCTGGTAAAGAGACATTTTTATGTCACAAAAACTTTAGCTCTCCCCATCTCAAAAATAATTTGTCTACCTAAACTTAAATCTCTACCTCTCAAAAATTAATGGGGGAAAGACCAAACTAGAACTAAAACATTAAGAATATATCAAAATAGAACTTTCATGTTTTTATTCTCGAAATAAGACTTACATTACCAAACATGGTCATATATATTACCAAAAAAGTATAGTAATTTGCACATGTACACTGCCACATTACCACAATGCAAAGTCACATTACCACAGTGCAAAGTCCTATTCCAGAAAAAAAAACATGAAAGTCATATTTTAGTACTTTTCTCTATGTTTTAGTCTTATTTAGGATGATTTCTAAAAATTAATTTATCTATTTTCATTTTGTGAAGATTTGAAATTTGTTGAAAAGAAAGTTTGGGTTTTGTTTTGGGAGGGTTGAATTTGCAAAATACCGAAATTAAATTAATTTCGGTTTTTGACATTTAAAAGTGACAAAAATAATGACTTGCCATTGTAAAATTTGTCACGACACTCACTTATCAAAGACTGACTGACTGTTTTTTATTAGTTAAAATGTTTCACATCATCGTATGTCATTCTATTTTATCTCACTGTTATTGATGCTCTAAGCAAAATAACTGAAATAAGTGTGCCTTTTGTTTTGGTGCGCCCAATTTGGAAAGTACTCCCTCCGTCCCCCAGTTTTTGTCCACTTTTGACTTTTGGAACTGTTCATCTAAGCACTTTGACTCATCAAATTCTCTCAATGTGTAAGCCTAAATATAGTCATGTGTGATCTTGTTTGATTTGTCTTAACATATAGATTATTAATATATAATTTCTATAATTTTTTAATATACAAATTACAAGATAAAATGGATTAAAGAAGTGCATTGGATGGTGTGCAAAAATGAAAGTGAACAAAAACTAGGGGACGGAGGGAGTATGTCTTTTGTCCCACGACAGAGAGAGTATTTCCATCCGAAATTCATTTACACTCTTTGAACAACGTGCAATATCTTATCATTTATGAATAATTTTATCAATAAATTGATATAGAAATAAAAATTACAAGTTATATATTTAAAAACTATATACAAATTCTATAAAACAAGATGCGAAAAGAATGTTCTTGAGGTGAAAACTCCATCCCACATCGGAAGTGGAGAACAAGAGTGAACTTTGTATATAACCTACCAAGATCTTAGAATATCTGTCTATTTTTTAATCAAATTGAATAAATTTTAATAGTCAATTAAAATTAAAAAATCGCATGATACGCTAGTACTCCCTCCGTTTTCTAAAATGATTCCTGTTTTGATTTAAAAGGAATTTATTTTCATAGTTTGATCTTCTAATTATTTCATTATCATCGAAAAGAGAGAGATAACTCATTTAAATGATATATTATATCGAAGCAAATTTAGATATATTAGTCATTTCTTTTGTATATCTAACCTACCAAGATCTTAGAATATTTGTCTAATTTTTAATCAAATTGAATAAATTTTAGTAGTCAATTAAAATTAAAATATTGCATGGTACGTAGTACTCCCTCCGTTTCCTAAAATGATTCCTATTTTGATTTAGAAGGAATTTATTTTTTATAGTTTGATCTTCTAATTATATCATTATCATCGAAAAAGAGAGATAACTCATTTAAATGATTTATTATATCAATGCAAATTTAGATATATTAGTCATTTCTTTTACAAAAATAGAAGGGTTTTAAGGAAAATGAAAAAAATAAAAGATGAACTGTTTTAAGAAATGAAGGGAGCAATTAATATTTGAAACATATATCTTGAGAAATATAATGAGATCATTTTCATATAAATATATTTAAAACAAATCGTCTCAAAATAAATTTATCACTTTTCTTTAACTAGTTTTTTTAACCCGTGCCATGCACGGGATAGAACGAAATTATTGTTTATTATACAAATTTTCTTCAAATTTTTAAGATTATGTTCTTTTGGATCCTACTCTGCAATTCTTAGGATCTATTTGGTTCAAAAAAACACTTTTCTAGAAAATTCTAATTCTACTTTTCAATGTTAGGTTACATAAGTGGTAGGAAATGATTTCTTTAAAATAATATTTTCTCAAAGAGATGAAAATAACTTTTGTTTGTTTTGAATCAAAGTTTATTTTTTACTCAATCCTCAAATAATCTAATTCCTAGATTGAGTTCATCCCTTCTCCCACACTCGCATCATCTCCTCCCGCCACCCCCTCCCCTCGCCACCTCCATAGAATGAAGCAAAATAAAAAAGATTCAAAATTGGTCGTGTATAAAAAATAAATTTTCATAAATTAAACTTTTCATCCTTTAAATGAACGAAAGAGGTGGTTTGATATATTTTAAATCTCTCCACACAAATTTTATCTAAATAATTTACTCTTTCTTAAAAGTCCATAAAAAAGAAAATGAAAAGTTTAATTTGGACGGGAGAGTACTTGTAATCAAAATTCGTTAATTCGCACGGTATGACATAAACATTTAAGTCAAGCTGAACGTATATTCTAAGAGGAAAAAAATAACCATTTTGATATTAATAGGAAATAAGGTGTACATTTTTTTTTATTTAACTTGAGATGAAAGCAAAGCTCACTCATTTTAAAGAAAAAGAAAATGTTGAAGTATGAATAACTTTAGATTGGGTAGGATGTTCTTTGAAGGTGGACCAAGGAATAGTAAGTCCCACTTGGCCCTTTGGCCAACAAGGCGGAGTGATTCCCCTGTTCCACAACCTTCCCTTTGTCCAACACCACAATGGTGTCACAATTATACACCGTACTCAACCGGTGCGCCACCACAATGCTCGTCCGGCCGACCATCACTCGCTCCAGCGCCGCCTGCACTGTCTTCTCCGACTGGTTGTCCAACGCGCTCGTCGCCTCGTCCAACAAAAGTATCGCCGGCTTCTTCAGCAGCGCCCTGGCTATGGCTATCCTCTGCTTTTGTCCCCCGGACAGCTGCACCCCCCTCTCCCCGCACCACGTGCCGTACCCGTCTCTCAACGACGTGATGAACTCGTGCGCGTTTGCAAGCTTCGCCGCCTCGGCGATCTCCGCCTCCGAGGCGGCGAAGCTGGCGGCCCCGTACGCGATGTTCTCGCGTACGGTCCCGGCGAACAACGCCGGCTCTTGGTTCACGAGGGCGATGTGCTCTCTCAGGGCGCGCAGGTTGTAGGACCTCACGTCGCGCCCGTCTATCAGCACCGCGCCGTTGATGGGGTCGTAGAATCTCTCGACCAGCCCGATCACTGTCGACTTCCCGGACCCGCTTGGCCCAACGAGAGCGGTCGATTCCCCGGCTTCGAAAACGACCGAGAACCGCTTGAAGATGGCGGTGTTTGGCCTGGCGGGGTACACAAAGTCGATGTCCTTGATCTCGACATGCCCCCGTACGTGATCGGGTTTTAACTTCTCGTCCTCGTCTGGTTCGATCGAGGAGCGTCGGTCTAGTACTGAAAACACGGAGCTCACGGTATCGGACCCTTTAGCGAGGTCGTTAGTCATGGTCCCCGCGTCAGCTATGACCCGGCCCGTGGTCAGCAAGATCTGGAACGTCTGGAACACGGACCGGGCCGTAACAGAGCCTTCAGCGACGAGCTTGCCACCGTACCAGTACCCGAGAGCACGAGTGCACGTGGTGAGGCCGCATGCGGTGGCAAGCCCGGCGCCAGCGAACCACGACTGGCGAACATTCTCCGCCCTCGGGATCTCTTGAGCTTTCTCCAGCATTCCAAGGATTCTAGTCTGGGAGGAGAACGCGGTGATGGTTCGGAGGTTTGCTAGTGCTTCTCCGGCTAGCTTGCCGGTTTCTTCTTGGGCTTTCTTCGCTTTCTTGGACATGGTCTTTAGCATGATGCGCTTGGAGTAGTAACAAGCTATGATCAATGGCTGGACCGCAATCATAACTAGCCCTAGTTTCCATGCAATGACTAGCCCCATCGTCCATGCTATGAGAACCGCCGACGTTGCCTGAATTAGCAACCCCATTCGGTCCCCGACTAGCGATCTGACCTGCGTAAGTGCACGTCATGGTCAAACTTTGAACACAGTGATCCAAAAATCAAAAAGTGCAAAAAAAAAAATAATGCTAAGTAAATGGACTCTGCATGTCGAAAATTCTACGTCCGACACTGAAATGTAAGTACGTACCACATTTGCGTCTTTGGAAAGTCGCGAACAAACGGCTCCGGTGCCATTTTCGTCCTTGTCGAACCACGCGATTTCAAAGGTAAGCATCTTAGAGAGCATTCTTTCTCTAATCCTTTTGGTCAAGTACTCTCCCATGGAAGCAAAGTTGTAGTGCTGAAGTATGTTGACAAGAAGTGAGAAAATGGCAAGCCCAAGAAAGCATAGGGCATACATTCTTATCTTCTCTTTGATCTCACCATGGTTGTGCAAGAAATACGCCGACACCATTGACCCCAATGCCAGTGCAAACATGGGTTGCACTCCTCCAAATAGCATTGCCCCTATCGAACCTGACGCCGCCTGCCTCCATTCTGGCGCGTTCATGGCGAGCAACCTTCTGAACGAAGGCGGCTTGCCATGAGTAGTGTTCTCTACAGGACACACTGAGTGGCGTGGTTCCACGCCAGCTGAATACGAATGACTGTTTGAATCTTGACTTGTAGTCAGGGGAACGTCACGTCTTGAGAGATCTTCATTTGTGGGGCCCGGGGGATTCTCGGGGTGGTGGAGGCGGGCCAAGGAGGAGTAAATGCCGCCACGGCCGCCCTTGATGAGGCGGTCGTGGGAGCCGACCTCCTTGACGTGGCCATTTTGGATCACGGCGACGAGGTCGGCATTTTTTATAGTCGAGAGGCGGTGGGCCACGATGACGGTGGTGCGGCCGATAGAGGCGTGGTCTAGGGCCTGTTGGACCGCCCGTTCGGATTCGGAGTCGAGTGCGCTCGTGGCCTCGTCAA